AACCAACGTTAAGGGCTTTCAGTCACTGCTCCGTGCCACCATCTATCCCCTCAATAGGAAATAAATCTGCTATCGCTCCTTTCGCTGTGGGAGCTGGATATGATGGTCTTCTTGCTGCTCTATCAACCGTACTTCCATGAAGAAAAGTCCTTCCAAACTTTGGTTAATTCCTTTCCTTAGAACAGGGCAAGCTGAAGCATGTTCCAAGACAGAAGCATCATGGTTTTTGTTTAAAGATATTGCTCAGGAATAGGAAATATTGAGCAGTTATGTATCAATACCATTATAATTAACACCGTTGTACACATTGGACTATAAACCTGATCATATGCCACCAAACAACCACTAGCGAGGCAACTTATTTCAGCATTTAGATTTAAAAAAAAGAAAATTGGCATTTAAAAATGGATCATAGTGATAATTAGTAGGCAATGAAAGACACAGTGGCACTGATTACGGATATATCTCAACTTATTGTGTCTATCTGTAATGTAGGAGCACACCTGTGTCTACCTGTAATGGAACTTACGTGGAAGCACACCTGGGTCTGCTTAAGACAGGCTATATATAGGCACACATCTGTGTCTACCTATAACAACACATATGGTGCCACACTTATGTCTACATATAAGAAGACATATGGTGGAACACACCTGTGTCTACCTATAACAAGACATATGGTGGAACACACCTGTGTCTACCTATAACAAGATATATGGTGGAACACACCTGTGTCTACATATAACAAGACATACGGTGCGACACACCTGTGTCTATGTATAACAAGACATATGGTGGAACACACCTGTGTCTACCTATAACAAGACATATGGTGGAACACATCTGTGTCTACCTATTACAAGATATATGGTGGAACACACCTGTGTCTACATATAACAAGACATACGGTGCGACACACCTGTGTCTACATATAACAAGACATATGGTGGAACACATTTTGTGTCTACCTGCAACAAGACATAACGGAGTGTCAACCTGTAATAAGACATATGTGGGAACACACCTATGGCTACCTGTAACAAATCATACTGTATAAAGAAGCACATCTGTGCCTACAAGTAATGTAGAAGCACATCTATGTCTACCTGTAATGACACTTATGGGGGTGCGCACTTGTGCCTACCTGTAATGAGAATGTATGGGAAAATATCTTGGTTTACCTGTAATGAGAACTATATGGATACGCAGCTCTACCTGCAATAACACCTATGTGAGATTACACCTGTGTCTATGCACTATAAGCTTTATATGGGAACACATCATTGTCTACCTATACCAAGACATATACAGGAACACAACTGTATCTACCTCAAACAAGACATTTATAGTAACTACCTGTAATAATAAATATATGGGAGCATACCTGTATCCAACTGTAGCAAGACATACTATATAGGAACATACCTGTGTCTACCTTTAAAGTGAACTATATGGGAACACACCTGTGTCCAACTGTAACAAGACATATATGTGTCTACCTGTAAAAGAGCCAATGTACTGTGGGACAACACCCATGTGTTCTTGTATCAAGATATATATACAAGAATACTCCCTTGTCTACTAGTATGAGACATATGTGGGAACTCACCTGAGTGTACCTGTAACTAGACATGTACAGGAACACACCTGTGTCTACCTGTAAAAGGGCCTATGTGTTCTTGTATCAAGACAGATACAAGAATACTCCTTTTGTTTGCCAGTAATGAGACATATGTGGGAACTCACCTGAGTCTACCTGTAACTAGACATATGGAGGAACATACCTGTAGTGTTAACATATACGAACACATGTGTGTCTTCCTTCAATAAGACGTATATGGGAACACAACTACATCTATCTGTAATGAGGCCATTGGGCCTAGAGAAAGACCTCCCACCTAACATCTAATGATCTGAGAACGGTGCCTCACTCCCCTCTTTGCAGAAAATATCTGCCACTTCTTACTCATCAATCAGTGAAATTAAATATTCTAACCTAATTTATTGACCAAACGTGGCAATATGTAGAACTACTGTATCTTTTTCAATAGTAACAACTGACCTGACTCTGACTTGAGAGGTGCTAGCTTTTAGAACCTAACGTTCCGACATACTTCCATACTACATCTCTCTTCCTTCTCCTCCCAACCTTCTCCACTCCTCCCCTGCTGGTATCCGGGTCATATCCAGCATTCCCAATTAAAGTGTAAGCCCAACCAAAACTTTGGTCTGCTATCTGAGGCACTGTCAGATAAATTTCTCCTCACTTACTGTCATGATGTCAATGGTTTCACCAGACAGGAAATGAAGGAAATCTGCAACAGGAACACAGACAGAAATAAAAAGCAACTATCGGAATTGAAGCGCCACACCAATTAACATAGTCCAGATACAACTTTATTCAATTAGAGTCATGGAGTAGCCAACACATTACATAGGCTCAAAACACACCCCTTCAACAGCACTTAATGAGAGAAATCATGTATGTGGACTACATACATGTAGTATATTGTATTGTGTTGTGATATGAGTACTTTAGGCTTGTCAACAGCTGGTTTTGGCAGCAACTGGTGAGTTTTGAACCCCCAAAAAGTTGTATTTGGACATTTTGAATTGGTCACTTCAATAGCTATATCTACTTGGTTCACTGCCAAGCCAAGGATACTGTGTAGATCTTTCGGATTGCAGAAGCTGAGACCATACATATTCACATCACTTAACTACTGTTGGATGGGAAACACAAAGAGGTTTGCACAGTCTCTTCTTCCTGCCCCTCCTTCTAAGTCAGAGATGTAGATCTCTATCTTGGGGACCTCTATCTTGGTGCCCAAGATAGAGGTCTACACCTCTGACTTAGAAGGAGGGGCAGGAAGAGACTGTGCAAAGTTTCAAATAATGTAGTTTTTAAAGACCTTGGTGCGAAATTGTGAACACCAGGACTTCAGGAAGCTCTCACGCATGGTGAAGGTCATGATGGTTGTACATGACCAGCCACAGTTTGAGAAATTATATAATGGGTGATGTTTATGTTGGAGGAAAATATTTAATATGGGTTGATTGGATGGTTTGCACACCAAAACTGTTTGGTTTTTTCCCTTTAATGGCCGGTTTTAGACAGTAATTACCTAGACCCCACATGGGTCTAGGGCTTTTTTTGATATGGGTTTTAGCCTTCCCCTACCCTAAAAAAAATTGCTGTTGTAGACTCTCCTTCGCTTCTTGCATAGTAAAACTGTTGTCATTAGGACAGACAATGATGGTGAATCTCTCTGGATAGCAGTCTTAAACCAGAGTTCTTCTAATCCTTCCCCACTCTATCCAAAACTTGAAGAAAAAAAAAGATAGAGTTGGATATTTATGTTAAGATCTGTGTTTTAGCATCCCCAAGCTGAAGGATAATTTACAAGCTTCAAGAAAGCTGCAAGGGCCCTACTAAAGGCTTTAGAAATGCTTTGTAAATGCTTGCTGTACACATTGTTCTTATACAAGCTAAAACCGTGCCCAAGATAGAGGTCTACACCTCTGACTTAGAAGGTGGGGCAGGAAGAACAGACTGTGCAAACGTTCAAATAATGTCGTTTTTAAAGACCTTGGTGCCAAATTGTGAACACCAGGACTCCAGGAAGCTCTCACGCATTGGTGAAGGTCATGATGGTTGTAAATGACCAGCCACAGTTTGAAAAATCCTATAATGGGTGATGTTTATGCTGGAGGAAAATATTTAATGTGGGATGATTGGATGGCTTGCACACCAAAATTGTTTTTTTTCTTCTTCCTTTTAATGGCCGGTTTTAGACAGTAATTACCTTTGGGGAAGTGACTTACGTACTTGAATACATTTATCTGATTGTACAATGCTATGTAATATGATCACGTATAATACAATGCATAATATAATTGAAGGATAATAATATTTATGCGTTAGTGAGCTTTAGCTGGAGAACGTTCTTGGGCTCTGCTCCGACAAGCACATGCTGAGAGGTTTGGCAGTCTTCCTTGTTCGGGAATGCCTTCTAATTTAACATGTAGTGTGCCAGGATGCTCCGGAGGTTGACATTGGCCAATCTGCGATTGGGCTAATTAAGAATAAAGCGCAGTGATGATTAAAACAACGGGACGGCTCTGGTCGTACTTGATTATTATTTTAGATGGGTTTTTTTTTTTAATTGCTCAGATTTTACAAAAACATAGAAAAAGTCAACCATGTACCCTGAATTGTCATGTCTAGTTAATAATGGCAGGCACTGCAAGGGTTGGTGGGACCACAGGCCTCCTTGTATCGATTTGGAGCTCAAAAACGAAAGCTGAATATCATGCAAGATAGGAAAGAAGAATACAAAAGGGCAAATAGAAAGCCAGGAAAAGAGAAAGAAGGGTGGAGAAAGGGAGGGCAGTAAACTATTATGGGTGGAGTAAAGGACGGTGGAGAAGAAATATAGAGAGACATACCGAGAATAAGAAGAGTAGAAAAAAAGCCGAGGCATGGTTGGAGAAAGGAAGAAACCCGAGACAATACAGTGTTAAAAAGGAGGAGTAAAAAGATGCATTAAGATAACCGGGCACGGGGACAGATGAAGGCAAGGCCGAATAAGTAGAGCGGATCTCGAAACTGACCAAGCCCCAGGTTGGTTGGGGTACGGGAAGGAGGTAAGACTTAGATCGAAGTACTGAAAACAAGTTGACGGGGCAAAGACGGGAACATCTAGGAGGTGACTGTTAAGTAATGAAACGAGCATGCTAGAGGACATTAGAGTAGACAATTAGTTGTGTAGTTAAAATAAGGAACTGTAGTTATGGAGAATACCGAAGCACAATGTACGATCACTATTGAAAATGAAAAAAACAAAAGAATACGAGAAAGGCGAATCGGAGATTGGTACGGAGGAAGGTGAAGGAATAATTCCATCTTTGTAGGCCCACCGATGGCAAGCTAATGTGCCAGTCTGCGCCAATGTGTGTCCTGCATTTCCCTGCTCATTGCTTTCCTTTGTTCCTTTCAGTTGCGACGGAGACTGCCCAGGGGGATGGGGAGGAAGGAAAGAGAGGCCGCGAAAAACGCAACACCGCCTTCAGTGTCGTGGCACAGGGCCCAGTGCCTCCACCCCCACCAGGCAGCATTTAACATGGCCGTTACTTCCAAAGCAAGCATGGGGAGAGGACGCATAGGAACGCCAGGGTGATAGGAAGAAGTGGATAAGGTAAACGGGGGATGCAAAAAAGCTATTTTGTAAGGGGTATGTAGTCGATGATGATACAGTTGCTTCTCTGCAACAATTAACATGCTTTCTACGTCAAGAATTATGCATTGGGCTCCTTGCTTTATTTTTTGTTTCACAGACTACAGCTGTGTTTTAAACCAAAATTTTAAAATTGCACTTATTAGAATGAAGATGACTCGATCCATGCAGTTAAGCAGATCCAAAATATGTGCCATCTATCATTACACAGGCACCTGCAGTAGATATAGCATACAACCTTTTACTTTTATTTAGTCATTCGAAAAAATTTTAAGGTTGTGATTTGTATTTGTGTGCACTTCTTATAACAAGCTGATTTGTGTATAGCGTAGGTCTTCTGCTGGTTGCCATAAACCCGTAGATCCGAACTTGTGCTGTGCCCTTCTCACAAGCTCGAGTGTGCGGGTCTGTGTCGGCTTAGCTACGGCGACACAAAAAGTTCTATACCACGTAATCACATTGCTGGGTTCTTGAGTGAAGATTGGAAAATTAAGTGGATGATTATTTTGTTGGCGCTGCTTCATATGATACTCAATTTCCTCTAGTCAAATATAGTGTGATCATCACATTTTGGATGTAAGCTTGAGGTCTATAGATTCATTTTGTCTTCCTACTGCTCGTTTTTTTATCCATGCTATCATTGTAAGAAGGGACCTTGCATATGTACATGCTTCCAAGACAACTGGCCCATCCTTTCTTGGCTCTTTCAGAACGGTAAACTCCGGGATGAGGTAGTAGGTTGTATAGTTGAGGATAACATCACAGGAGATAACTGTACAGCCTCCTATCTTTCCCTGGGGTTTTGCCATGACATCGAAGCGGAAATATTCACAACAAACATGGACTGCTACCAGCAAGTAAGCCATACCACTAGACAGAGAGTTCATTTCAGACACAATTATAGCGCAAAGTTTACATATTTAAAATCTCTGAGTAATAGATGCAAGTTAATTGGGAAAACTGGTAAAATGTGTAACAGGTGTACAAGATTTAAAATCTAAAATGCTTGAAGTTTTTTTAAAAATTGTGTTCCGTGATTTGGTGTGCCATGCCAAAAAAACATACATTGGCTGTAAATTGATTAAAGGGGAAGATAACCCAAATACATTTTGTTTTTAGTGTTGGGTAATGAAGGCAGCTTTTAAGACTTTAATGCAGTCCATGACCATGGTGGTTTGAGATCTCCCAAGTCTCACACCAGATGATGCCATGGCAAGCATTGGTTTGTTATGACCTGAACGTCATGGTTCAGCTCTCTAAAGCCCATTCACTATATAATCCCATGAAATCTCTATCCACTATTGGGCAAACCACATCAGCATTATGGTGTCACCAGTTGCTAGTGGATTCTCCATGGAAATGTTTGGAGGATGCACTAAAGAGAGGGGAACCAGGAAGCTTAGGTCGTGGTGAAGCTCTGTATTTCATGGCAGGACCAAGTGGAGGGGGAGATCATCCTGCCAGGGTCATAGACTGCAATGTTGGATTCAAAATCGACCTCACTTCACCCATAAACAAAAGCAATATGCCCAATTGTTGTTATCTACCAATCAAACCGAAAGGTGCCCACAGATATTAACCCACACTTGAGGCCTCCAGTTTTGTTATTCAGCAGGTCAATGGGCCACCTCTATGAGGGATCCCTGAGGTGCTTCATTAAGTGGGAAAAACGTTTTACCAAACTGACATTTTGCGTTATAGTCCTCAGTTTCAAGACAGTAGCAGAGCTGGGGTCGTTCACATATTTATGGGATATAATCATACTTAATGTCTTAATGGGTGTGTTTGTCTAGCCATGGACAAGGAGATCTTTCATTTATCAGGCCGTGTAGGACAACCCTTTTTGGGGGACCTTTTCAGAGCTAGATCATTTACCAGCAACCAACCTCCATCAGATATCTATAACCAGCTTAACTACGCTGAATTGATGAAAGCTGGATTTTGACTAGCTGCCACATTTTACAGAACTGTTCTGCCATTTGTACAATGTTATTTTAGTGAACCTGAGCTAGCCTAAAAAGTCCCTAAGCCAGCAATACTCCTGTGTTGTCAAACCAATAATTTTGCCCTTGTAGAGCTCATTGGATCCTGGGCCCAGACTGGACCTTGACTTTAATGCAAGACAATAATAAAAAATATCTGTATTTTTTAGTTGTAGTATGGTTATCCTTTAAATGAACCTGCTCCCAACACTCCTTCCAACAAGTCTTATATTTACCTGACTCTGCTACTCTGAAATCTTCCACGGAGAAGCTATCTACCTTTGGGATCCATAATAGAATTAATAAGGAATCAAAAGCTCCGCTGGTAGACACTGGTAGACCTCAAGTCCCAGGAGGCCACAAAATGAAGAGAAGCAAGGTCAGGTCAGAAAATAACATAGGAGGTAGAAATTAGTTTGTTGGACATCCCATTCCAAAACCTTAGGCATTAATATGGAGTTTCAGTCCTGGTTCATCCCAAATCAGTAGATTTAAGTTCAGGGTTCTGTGACGACCACTTCAGTTCCTCCTTTCCAAAAATTAATCAAACCACGTATCTATGCCGCTGGCTTTGTGCACAGGGGCACAGTCATGCTGGAACAGAAAAGGTATTTGCATGCTGTAACATTAACAATACCCTTTACTGTAAACACCCAAAGTCAATAATTTAGAGGGGTGTCAACATACTTTTGGAAATATGGTGTACAGTATATAATCTGCTATTACTAATCTTCTGAAAGTGATAGTTGACTGGCTTTTAGGGACACCCATTGGCTTTAATAGTGCCTGGGTTACTGCCCCACAACAAGCATGCAGATCAGGGAAGTCAGAAGTCCTTATCTGCATATTTGCTTCAAATTAGTGACTATAGATGGTCAGCACGACAGCCGGATACCATGGACCTTATATAACATAAGTTACGGAATGCTGGAACTCCTGCCAAAAGTTCTTCCAAAAAATAGAAAAAAACATTTTCAAAATCGCATACCCCATGTTTCGCTTATAATAGGTTTCCTTTAACCTTAGTCCGTTCAGTCGTCCAAGCCCCACCCTCTGCCGTTCAACTGTAAAATGCTAAAATGCCAGACCCTCTGCTGCCCGCCAAGGCCCTGGCATTCAAAGGGGCACCATTAGAACACAAGTGCTTGCTCGAAGGGTAGTTGTTACACCTATGCCTTCCATACTGTTTATCCCTTACTACAGCTGTAAGAAAAGTGAAGCTCTTGGGTTATGTAGACAGTCTCTATATGAATTGTACTTATCTTTGCCGAGCTGCAGTGACGATCATTTGCCATTAAAGTGTATGTATTGCCAAACTTCATTTTTTTTAGTTTTGGATAGGAAGGTTTAACACCTCTGCCAGTTTATTTTTTTTATTGTTTATGTACCATGGGGAAATTTCCCTTCACTGTCCCAGAGCTGGAGGAAATCTCCCAAAGTTAGAGGGGGAATCCCCAAGAACAGGCACCCCCATTGGAAGATTTCCCCTCACCTTTTTGTTCTGGGTCATTTCACCTTGTTGGGGTTCCTGTCTCTGTACAATAGTCATCGGAGTGGTGAATCTCCCCAATGGAGACAAGGACATGAATGAAAACTCTGGGGCCTAACCCTTCTTCACACCATCCAAAACTAAAAGAGATACATTTTAACGTCCCTCATTGACCTTCCTCCTTCCTAGCATAACAGGATGCATTGGTTGCAAGTCCGACAGTCACCCCCTTAAAGTGGACCTGTCTTTAAAACTTGTGCGTTACAAGCATCAGTAGGGCACAAGTCGGCATTACAATTTCATAATATTTTGGATTTAAAAATTGAGAATTTGTTTTAGATTTGATCTAACATTGCAGCAAATTTTACAAAAAATTAGGCAGGATAAAGGACTACCAAAGCAATCCATTTTAATTGCATCTAATCAGGTAGATCCTGGTGCTTTTTTCTAGTCAACAAGTATTTTACTGGATATCACTGTTTGTGGTCAACATGTATTGCTGGTAACAAGCTAGCAATATATGGATTTAAGGGTCAGTCCACTAATTTTTTGGCAGATATTGACTAGCTTATTCACTCAATAGTTTCATTTGGGCACTCTTGTGACCAAATATTATTGATATTTATATTAGTTTAACTAAAACCAGAATAATTTACAGGGTTATTCACAAAAGGGTGAAGAGTTTGGAGAAGGCAGGAGAAGTGAACAATCTAGGACAACATAGCTGAACTGGAAAGTGAGCTGGATTGGAGAATTTTTCCAAATCAGCTATGTTGTCCTAGATTGTTCACGTCTCCGGCCTTCTCCAAACTCTTCCCCCTTTTGTGAATAACCCTGTTAGTGTTTGTACTTTTTTCTGCTTTGAAGGTGAACTCAAGGTAAATGGCTAAATATGCAGATGGAATGCAAATATTGAAGTGGCTTCATCCAGTCCTGAGATTTACACATCACAGCCAGACTGGTGACCAGGGCCGGATTTTCCACAAGGCCAACCGAGGCCCGGCCTTGGGGCAGCAGGGGTGTGGAATTCCTATCTCCCAACATCCAGGAGATGCAGCTCCAGGTGCCGGGCGGGTAGTTGTTTTCTACATTAAGTCCTGCTTTGGCCAAGCAGAGCTAAATGTACAGTGTGGAAGCCACCGCTTGCTTTGTACAAGTGATCACAGCGATGTCATCAAGTTCACTTGTATACAGCCTACATATAGGGGGGTGCATTGAGGAACCCGGCCTTGAAGCAGCAGAGTAAATCAGGCCCTGCTGGTGACCTGAGTTTTCTCTACTGACTTTAAGCAATACAGCTTGGTCATCTTCCCAACCAAAGCCAGAAATTAGACAATAGAGGAGCAGCAATAGACTGATGAAGCCATCTCTCCATTGTGAACACACGTCAATGCAGGACATGTGATTGACTTCTATTGATGCCCATCTCTCTCTAAAACAGATGGATGAGGTAACTGCATTCCCTGGTGGTTTTTTAAATGCTTGCCTTG